TTTGTGACTATACATTGATCAATACAAAACACATTTTTGGATACGAATAGACAGTTATTGTATACATTCATTTGATTGTTTGAGTTAATCATATTCAGTTATAGGTTTAAAATATGAACTCAATATAAAAGTAGCAATCACCATACAATTAATTATAATGAACATTGATCGGTTCTTTTATTTGTCACCAGTTAGAATACAAAATTTGAGTAGAATCTTAAATTTTATTTTTCGAGTGCAAAGTAATCATATTTCTGTGGATCTATTTGCATTGAACTTTATATATATAATTTGTTATTCTTATTTAATAGTGTGTTCTCCTATTTCAGATTGTCCATTGTATCGATAAAATGAGAACTAATATAGTAATACCTATGGAAAAGAATACATGAATATCGAAAAGGCGCGAACAAAAATGGAAACGTTAGCATGAAAATATGAGCAAATGAATGAGCGTACCAATAATTAACATGTACTAATTCTATGACTGTCTGAACGATAAAATAACAAGTTTGTATGAGCGATTCAAAATATCGTGAAAATAGTAATAAATTGTTTGTGGATATGACAGGGAAATAAATCGTCAAAATGGCTAGAGTAGAATGTGACAGAAATTGGTCTGTGATGCTGACAAAATAGTGAAATATGCGAAATATATGTTCTGTTGAGCCGCAGCAGAATAAATAGCATCGACTAGCGACGAGTGAATTCGAATTTAAATGCGTAGTTCCCGTTTGTAGGATGATAATAGGCAAGTCGTGAAATGATATCTGCATCGATGGGTGATATTAGTTGCTGTACTGCAATTGATAATAATCATAAAATATGAAGTCAGTGAACGTTGTCGTCTGCGTTACGACAGATGCATTGAGTTATCGTTAAATATGTATTAGTAGAATGACCAGAGGAACATAATAGTGACTGAGTAGATAAGGTACGTAGAGTCGTATTCCTTTTTGGTCATGAAGCCTAGAGTGGTTTGTGTGGTTTGAGGGAGATGCGCTCGATCTCGTTTGTTACAAAACCGTACCAAGGCATGACAAAAATACCAATACATATGATTAACGATGGCGACTTATGAGACTGACTTGGATGTGACGAACAAGAGTGTATCTTTGAGAGGCTAGCTCTAAACTCTATGTTCTGATATACCGAGCGATGGGTATAGAATAGTAGTTGCAGTACTCGAATAGCGTTTTCGCGTGATAAGTGATGCAGCATGTAGTTATGCACGTGGAAGAATAGATAAAATGAGCGTAATGGTTACTAATCAGCTAGTCAGAAGCATCCACAGACATAATAGGAGGCGATTTCGAAATGAAAAATGTATGTTGTGATAACATAAATTGCTGACCTCGACTAAGTGAATGAATGCAATATTAGATCAAAATGACATGAAAAAAATTGGAACGAACTCACTTAAAGCAGGAAAATTTTACGTTTTTGAATAGTAAAAATATCCCAATGAGTTCTCGATGTCATTACGTGAAGTGGAATTTTCATAAAATGATAATTTGTTCGGTGATATGATTGCAAAAATGTCATAAGTTAATGACAGCACGAACAAGATTAATAATTCCATATTCAGTCATGATATTGGCAATAATGTAATAATAAGGATATAATGATAATTTGAACCGTAATTGAACAAACCGACGAATGGATCAATGAGAATAGGTGATAGCAAACACTCGTACATTCTAAATGGAGTCAGATCAAACGGGCCACCAAAAATGGTAAGCCCGCCGACGACGAACCTAACGCAGCAAGCTACGTCGATGAGGAGATTTCTGCACTTGATAAATTCGACGAACACACTCAACGGGTCCAGCTCAATCTCTAATCCGAAGCACTCAGCAAAGCCTGTGCAGCACGACATGGACATGTTCAAGTCGTATTATCTTATCAATACTTTGTACTCATGTCAACCATTCTCATTGATCCATTCGTCGGTTTGTTCAATTACGATTCAAATTATCATTATATCCTTATTATTACATTATTGCCAATATCATGACCGAATGTGGAATTATTAATCTTGTTCGTGCTGTCATTAACTTATGACATTTTCGCAATCATATCACCGAACAAATTATCATTTTATGAAAATTCCACTTCACTTAATGAGAACTCATTGGGATATTTTTACTATTCAAAAACGTAAAATTTTCCTGCTTTAAGTGAGTTCGTTCCAATTTTTCATGTCATTTTGATCTAATATTGCATTCATTCACTTAGTCGAGGTCAGCAATTTATGTTATCACAACATACATTTTTCATTTCGAAATCGCCTCCTATTATGTCTGTGGATGCTTCTGACTAGCTGATTAGTAACCATTACGCTCATTTTATCTATTCTTCCACGTGCATAACTACATGCTGCATCACTTATCACGCGAAAACGCTATTCGAGTACTGCAACTACTATTCTATACCCATCGCTCGGTATATCAGAACATAGAGTTTAGAGCTAGCCTCTCAAAGATACACTCTTGTTCGTCACATCCAAGTCAGTCTCATAAGTCGCCATCGTTAATCATATGTATTGGTATTTTTGTCATGCCTTGGTACGGTTTTGTAACAAACGAGATCGAGCGCATCTCCCTCAAACCACACAAACCACTCTAGGCTTCATGACCAAAAAGGAATACGACTCTACGTACCTTATCTACTCAGTCACTATTATGTTCCTCTGGTCATTCTACTAATACATATTTAACGATAACTCAATGCATCTGTCATAACGCAGACGACAACGTTCACTGACTTCATATTTTATGATTATTATCAATTGCAGTACAGCAACGAATATCACCCGTCGATGCAGATATCATTTCACGACTTGCCTATTATCATCCTACGAACGGGAACTACGCATTTAAATTCGAATTCACTCATCGCTAGTCGATGCTATTTATTCTGCTGCGGCTCAACAGAACATATATTTCGCATATTTCACTATTTTGTCAGCATCACAGACCAATTTCTGTCACATTCTACTCTAGCCATTTTGACGATTTATTTCCCTGTCATATCCACAAACAATTTATTACTATTTTCACGATATTTTGAATCGCTCATACAAACTTGTTATTTTATCGTTCAGACAGTCATAGAATTAGTACATGTTAATTATTGGTACGCTCATTCATTTGCTCATATTTTCATGCTAACGTTTCCATTTTTGTTCGCGCCTTTTCGATATTCATGTATTCTTTTCCATAAGTATAACATTTTTTTTTGATTTGTGAATACATATATTTTGTATATGAAGCGAATGAAACATAGCAAAACAAAATGACGCACAGGGAGGATGGCTGGGAAGCCAACTCCATTTTAGTCAAGAGTTAATTAATATTTATAGGCAGACAAAATAAACTACAGACATGTGATGAATCATGGGACATGAAGTGTACACACATATAAGCTCATATAAAAAAAGTCAAGACTGACAAGCGAATAATTGACAAGGTCAAAATATGACTGAAGTAGAATGAATAAAACGGAATGTCCGAAAACTAGAATATAAGATATATGGGCTTAAAATAATGACTGACACTACAAGTACATGTAGAACTATGTTAACAACAGTAAATAAACGTGTCGAATTTTTGTTCAATTTATTGCTGTAAATCCATAATGGAAACTCAGTTATTATCCACTGATTATATTTATTCAAAATCTCAACAAATTTTTTCTCAATTTTCATAGTGGAAAAACGAGTGAATTTAGATACGAAGCTATGAGGAAATCCGATTACAATCAGGAATATCAATATGGATTTCTAAATAAGACTCTTGTTATTTTATGTAAATACCAGTTCAAGATCCAGTATGTGGATACTAATTATATCATATTTAAATTCATTGCCATCATAATCAATTCAGTACTCGTTTCTTTCTGAAAAATGCTTCTCTCAGTAGTTTATAGCTAATTTGATTCTTTATCACTTATTAGATTCAATATGACTGGTTGAAATCGTAATACGGGCACGTGAGTGAGTCTTAAGAATCGATTCCGATAAATAATTCAACTCAGCTATAAAACAACAATCAAGATATTCCTGATCTGAGTCTGAATATGATCTATGCTTCCTATCGGCGGCAGCTGTAGTTTTTTCACTGGGTTATGGTGTAAATTATATTACAGAATTTATAAAGCATTTTTATGTGTCCACACGAAATGACCTTTAATCGGTGAAGAATTAGAAACAGACATATCCAACTTCACCAAGTATCAGAGACTATCTGCTATTGTAAAGTTCATTCCGCGTTCGAAACCAATGTTTTCCAACTATAACACTTACGGACTATTTTGCATGTTATTTCCATTAGCAATTATTCTGGTCCATATGTGATTCTCTAAAGAACAGCCGGATTATTGAGTAACTGTGTATCACGTGATCTAGTATCATGTTCATGTATGATAGTCCAAGGTTGATGGATCTTGATAAATTATATTTCTGTCATAAAACATTAAACGCATCACAATGATAATGAATAATAAAAAATAAATAAATAAATAATTCCAGATTTAAATTAGACAGTTATGACCTGTCAACTAAGTGTTAGGAATTGAAAAACAAACTTTGCAACGAGTGACTATACATGAAATGTTAGAAGAAAAACGAATGTGTCAGTGTCCAATATTTAGTTAGTTTCACTTATATAAAGTAGAATTTGTTGAAATCACTGTGAAACTCTTCCTGTTTTTCAGTATTACTTTTAGTAGATAGAGATTTAAAATAAAACTATTTAAGATAGTTAATTTCGATCTTTAAATTGACAAATTCTACTAAGAAGAAAACTTACCAAAATAATATTATAATATTTGTTTAAATATTTCTTTAGGTCCCCATAAATAATGAACATCTATTTGTTTTGGAAACCCCAAGAAGTGCTTGTGATCCCTGTCATGAAAAACAGAAACTAAATTTGGTGGTTTTAATCAAATCTTGCACTTATTGCTATGAACAACGGTCATACGCGCGTAAAACATACATGAACAAAAGTCTGTGGAATAACTTAACAGTCAGATTTGTATTTGTTGTTGGATTACCAATACCAAATGAGACAAATATTTATCATTTTGATGGTGTAAATATTCAGTTGAATGGGAAATCATGGTCGGAATCGAGAAAACGTGAATTTTCTCGATGGTCGGTAATAAAAGAGTTGAGAAATGAAAGCAGATTTTATGGTGACATGTTGGTTGGTGGTTTCTTTGATACTTACTTCAATTTAACTACGAAAATGATGTTATCTTTTCGTTGGGCGTGTACCTTCTGTAAGAATATAACGCCATTATTTTTATTTATTGACGATGATTATGTACTTCATCCGAACAATACAATGAAACTCGTAAAGTCAATTAAAATATCAGATATGAAGTCATATGTCGGTGGTCCAATTCATGCAACATCAGTTGTATCGCGACCAGAAAATAAAAGTTACAACTCAAAGTGGGATGTTTCACCTCATGAATATCCATGGAGTTATTATCCTCCATACTTTTATGGTATTGGCTATATGATTGGGGCTGACGTTGTATGTGATGCTTCTGTTACAATGTCATTTACACAAAATCTCCGTATTGATGATGCATACCTTGGGATTGTTTTGGCGAGACTGAACAAGAAGCTCAATCAACTTAAAGGGTTCAGAGTATACACTGATACAAATTTCGAAGCATCAGGAGCAGTTATTATACAAAAATCAAGCGCTGGTTTACTGTTTGCTTAAACCACAATAATAAATTAGTCTTTCTGTAAATATTCAGTTATAAATAATCTTATATCAGTCATCTGAATAAATGTATGTTATAGACATGCAAATGCTGTCTGGCTAACAAGAACTAATTTTAATAGTCAGTTCATAATTTTATCGACTATTGAGAAGATCATAAAAGCGTGTCATACAAACCAATTTATACATTTTATGACCATGAACTATTTTTGTATTCAATATTTCCTATGTCACTGAGTTACTTTATTAAACAAAGAAATAAGAATTATGGATCAATTATCCTGATTTCTGGCTCATGTTCATGTTAAAATTTGTGTCAAGAATTCAAATTTCTCCATTAATCTCAAATGTTCACAATCTATGCATAATAATCAACAAACTGTCATCATCACATGGTGCTTATCATAATTGAAACAAATGATAAGCTAAGATGATAGCTTAATTAAACTCTTATTAATTTGCAATTAGTTCTTCAAATTAGAAGTCATATTATGTCAGATCTAAATCTTACTAGTGCACTATAGCAGAAGTCACTTAATCAGCAACAAATGATAGAATATTTAAGTAACAAATCCCGCATACCATATCAGATAGTTCTCACAGTAAATCTACACAGAATGATAAATTAAATGTAAAAAAAACCAACAACTGTTATCATGGAGATGGATCAAAAGTTAATCAGTTGTATGTGTGATAAAAGTAATAATGATTTAAACTGATTCGTATATAGATTCTTACATTAATTATCTGAATAAACAAAAACCTAAACGTAATACATGCAATTTTTATTCATTTCTATATTTTGAATGTTTATTTTTTTTATCATCATTGTAGTAATTTGTATTTGGATTAATTTTTCACAGGTTTGTCGAATCTTTGTACCGATTTGTTTTTAATGAAGCCTATTTTGTGCAAGGATGCTGGTAGAATGAGACATTGAATTATTTTTGTGCTATGAATAACTTACCCGAGACTTTTTTCACCTAATAAATCTTCAGATATTCATTTATTTACTGGTGACTATTATTTTCATTTGTAAAATTTGCATCTTATTTTTAGCATCAGATCTCTTCAAGCAATCCATCGTCCATTTTAAGTTACTGTTTGAGTATTTCTCGGTGCCTCATTTTGTTCCCTAAAGTTTATGACTATTTTCAGAGACCCTGTATATATTAATACAAGTTCACTATTTGCTGATATCAGTCTTCTTTAGTCTCTATTAAATAAATCTTCATCCCAAGATTTGTATCTTGTGATGGCCATGTTTAAAATTTAAATGGGAAATATGGTGTCCAGGTATCGAAATTAAAACTACTAGTTATAGCTGTCAGATCAAGACTCATCTATCTGAAACCGATGAAGATTCAGAAAAATGTTTAACAAAGAAAGAGATTATTTGGGCAGATTGAAGAAGTAACTGAAAAACAGGTAATAACATTGTTGGTATAATTGTTCAGTAGAGTTCATTTACTCAAAATTCATTTAATATACTTATGATAGCGACAATGTGACTGAATGTAAATAAAACTGCCTAATAACTTGGAACATTTTGCAATTAATACTATTTCTCATTTCCCTGAACAGTAAAGTGGTCAATTTACTTTCACAGTCGTTATCTGAGATAGTCATTGAGAATATCAATGGAAATTTCAATTTTGTTGATCGTTCTTCAAGATATAGGCCTTCATGCCACTCGTCAACAAAGTGTACCTATAATCTTGAGGGAAGTGGTGCTCCATGACAAACCGTGAAGCTGGGTGACACGGGATCTAATCCGTCAGGAAGTACCAGTCCCCTCAAGATTACATGTACATCTTGCTGACGAATACCAAGTAGCATGAAACCCGGGTCCAGGGTTTCCTGTTGACTACCTCCAACCACCATTTAATCTCAACATAGTGCACGCAAAGGCGAGTCACCTAGACTAGTGGCCACATTGCAACTTGGTCGATAGGATTCGATCTGAACTAAGAAGGACTCGACATACATGAAGTTGATCACCACCCAGTGATCAATCAATTGTCAAGACAGGTGATTTCATACAAAAGGACTGTATTCTGTTTGACGTTATCCAGATGATGATAATTAATTTGATAATCAAAAGAAAATCATACATAAAGCCGATCTATGCTAATCACTTTGCAAGTAACGGTGTCCATTTTTGAGATTTACTCTGTGACGAAATTAACGTAAATTAGTCACAATATAAGTTAATCAATTCTAAATGACAGTACTTCAAACAAAAATTACAATAGAAACTGAAATGAGATATTGGAAGGATTATATTCAAGTAGGGAATTTCGAAGATTGTATCATGACTGGAGGTGTCTGAAATCTTATACTGATACACAACGTGCTAAACGCCAACCCCCTAACTGACTACTTGGATGAGATTACAAAAGTGAGCGAAAAAGTATATTGGACTGGCAAACAAAATATACGAATACTCATTTATATACTACAACTCTGAGATAGTGGAGAAGATATGCATCTTAGGTGGATTATTTTGATGAAGTTTTGTTCTCCAAGCTGCATGGTTTGGTCGTGGAGCTTTCATCGTTCTTCTGAAAGACATTATCATTACATACTTCAGGTAGAAGTGAAGTGTTCGAATTTCTCCACATATGGCTCACAGACCGCGATCTTAATTGGTTATTGTTGACCTTTAACCTGTCATTGTTTACTATTTCATTTTGGTTGTATCTCCCATTGATTTGACTTTTTGTCCTATATTTGTCGATAGTTTTTCTGATTGGTTGATAAATTGGATCTATTTTTCAATGTGTTTGTTGGTTGCTGATTGGTCTGAGTGTCAAGCTTTTAAAAGTTCTCTGGTGTTTTTAAAATTACCTCTATCCACGATCTGAACATTCTGTGGACACACATTCGACTGGAATTCTAAAACTTCACTTCTACCTGAAGTTTGTACAAAAAACAAAACTCCATCAAAAACACACAACTCTACCCCTTAGGAGATCAATCCACTTCGTAGCTAATGAAATGCACTCCTCCTTCAGGTCACTTCTGATTGCAATCGATTGACCTTCTCATTAGGCTACTTCTGATTGTCTTACCATATCAGATTGTAGAATGCTAAACCTTCCCCCCTTTATGACATTATCATGAATTAATCAAACGCCGGCTCATCGGTCTACAGCTTAAGAGTTCATGCTTGAAAATAAATGTCCTGGGTTCTATCCCTGTGTACATTGTTGTCAATACGCGCTGCTAAAGAGTCTGAAATTAACCTCCGTAGATGCATGATTAAAATGTTTTCTTTAAAATAGGACAGTGTATATAATAATTTATTTTGACCCTTCAAAACATGCATATGAACAGATAATGTTATGGTCCTTTTCATTTCTGTATAAAACTGAACAGTTTCCAAAGCACGTTTTAAACTTTGTTAGCTTTAACATATATTGTTAGATTTAATATTAGCGATCTATCAAATACAATCTTCACAAAGAAAGCTGTAAATTAACATCTATGCTACGGTACAGACTAGTCAAACCATTGAGTTCTCGAACATGAGTATAGCATTATCAGTGAATATTATTCACACTTATTACATGGTATGTTCAAACTGAAAAACATTTGTGGAGCAAGTATGAAAAGTGAGATGAATGCACATGAACTTTTACTATCAATATAATATCATATACAGATTCAATAAAATTGATAGAAACAATTAACTAAAACTGGGAAACATGTTTTTAAGATTATTTTAATAATGAATAACATTGTGTGATGTCACCTAAGTATGATTATATTTTTAAAGAGTTCCTCATAGTTGTTAATCTACTATTAACTACTATTAGTTAATAATCAGAATTCGTTTATTAACCTGTACAATGAAAGATCTAACACTCATTTGAAACATGAAAACAGAAGTATTAAAAGGTGTTCACTTGTCAAATATCTTTGTCCTAATAACACTTTAACGATTATCTATTGATGAAGATGACTAATAACATCAATACTTCGTTCATGATCGCTTCTAACCTTGATGTAAAGACTCATTTAATAAAAAATTATTGGCTGCATAACTATTATGTCTATTTCTATACTATGGTCATATGAGTATGCAAAGATGGAAAGATATTTATTCTAGAAAAAAACTTCCAATAGTTTAAATGTTGTATATTTTCTGTTCAACATCAACTTATGCGCAAACGTATTTGAATGGTTAATAAATGATACAGTGCAACGTCTTTCACAGCAGAATTTGGTATTACAATATTCGAAACGAATCCATGGATTCAAAAAGGAGTTTTAGATCTATCACAGCCTTGAGAATTTAATTTTGTGAACCCTTTCATTTTATTTTGGCTGAGTTAGTCATTGTTGAATGGAATTGGAAATACATATACTTCTATGGTACGAATTTAAAATCCATCACAATTTTAACACCGTGTAAATAATTTGAGCATTTTTCCAATTATAACTTCTCAGTGTTCACAGTGTTAGACAAAGTGTTAATCATCCTAAACGTTATATGCCTTGTAACAGTCATCTAAAGACTCTGTCTGCAGAAACATTCATAGATTGTTGTTGAAAACACTCTCAATCCCTATATTTCATAAAAACTACCGTGGTTTCTTTCACTTTATGCGTTATATTTCATATCAATTTGGTTGAATGAGAAAACAGCTGATGATAATACGTGACATAACTGACATATAGTGATGACGTGGAATTAAACTAAAGGTTATAACCCATATGTAAAAACATTTTGAGTTGTGCTAGGTAATAGCAAATAAATCTATACAATATTGAAGTTAAAATAAAAATCCTTTCCATTGAACAAATGAAAAACATGTCCTGTGCACATGTTAGTTTTAAGTAAGTTCGATTTTATTTTATGCTCACTAACTATACATTATTACGACTGTCAAATATTAATGTGAGAGTACGCATAAAAACTAACAGCAGATAGGTCGAATACATTTAGCGAAATCGATTACCGTAATAAAAACACGTGTAGAGTAGTGTATAACAATTAGAAAACGGGTGTTAACAACATTCAAATCGCAATAATTCCTGATGACTATGACAAGATATAAACTTTGTGGAATATATTTTTCTAAGAAATTGACTACAGTTTTCATATTGACTGTGTTGTTCTTTCAAATACCATCAATTATTCTGTATCATTATTACACAACCAACAATTCAGTGGAAGAGGGATTTTTCAGTAGTGATGTTTTGTTTCACATGAAAATGTTGAGCATATGTGCGAAGTCGGAGCAAATGTGGCTTCAATGTGTTGATCAATTGAATGATTTGAAAATAACAAATTATGTAAGATTGTCTGGATTCCAACCATCAGTTCGTCTGTTTCAAACACCGTTAAACTACGGACTTCTCGATATACAAATTCCATTTACAATAAATAGTGAGAATCATATGAATGATATGTTGAATGAACGTTATGTTTTGTCGAATAGTAGTGATGTAACTTCAATGTCTAACGTGAAGTCAAGTGTGAAAATGAGAAAGAGCAATGTGCATCATCCGAAGTATTTCAATGTGAAAGAAGCACTTCATGCTATTGAAGTAGGGTTATCTGATGACGCAGTAAGTTGTTTGACTGATTGTAAAGATTCTATTAGTTTATATAGATGTTGAATATTAAATTGGTTACTCGGTTAGTGAATTTCTGTATAATCACCTTTAGGCAGCTTGTCTGGAAGAGCACTGTATTTGTCCAATTTGAGAGTGATTATTCTTCCGTTTTTGTACAACGTTACGGGTTATCTCACCCGGGTTTCACTTTCGAAAATGTGTTGATACGTGAAGTGAGTTTTTATGAGAGAGACCAACAGTTTTGCTGATTCTATAATCCCACTTTATGGACTGATCTTAGTGAAATATTTAGTGACAAACTGAAAACCAGAAGAGACTGATTGGTTGTCACATTCTTTTTTGAGACTCTCCAGCAGTGCATATCCGACTACCTCAAGACCGACCAAAATTTGAACTATCAGGTTGAACTTTCAAACCACCATCTGATCAGACACGCATTAGTGCACGTGTTTTACTTAAGTCATTACGTAATATCCAATGCCGTTGGTGATATTTTTCTCATACAAGACTCCCCTGAGATCGAATGGTCACGGGTTCTCACTAGAACTTAGTAAATTATCTTTTCGAGTTAGTCACAAGTAAGTATATGGTCAGTCAGTGATGTAAAACTATGAGATTCATCAATCTTCATGACATTCAACAGTTAGCTTATACGAACGTTTGGAGCCACAATAAATATCAAGAACAATGAAGTCGAATTACAGTTGAGAAGTGAAATTCACTTTGAAACCATTATATGATTTAGTTTGTTATTTCATGTTGTTCTATTGACGAGTTGAATCACACAGCTCAATTGACTAGGTCATTACTGCTTTTCATTTGGAACAAAATTGCTTTCGACTAGATATTCATCAAGCTTAACTGTAATATGCAGTAATATTTATATGCATAGATGTAATTACTAAACCAATCAAGGCAGTTTATGAGTCAATGATAACAGTGGAATAGAAATGTCTTGCAAGTAGAACTAGGAAGATACGCTCAGTCGATAGAATAAATGAGGAATTAGATCTCATAAATAATATGTTGATGGAAATGAGTTATCGACGAGAAGAAACATTTGCATGTAACAAATAGGGAAATAGCGACATCAACGGCTACTAATAAACCACTTTTCCTAAAGCTGCAATTCAACGAACATGAAGATGGTGATGTGCTACATGATTATGGTAATAAATCGATACGTTCAATTTAATATCAGTCATAGTGTAGTTGCCTATGAATGAATAGATTTGTGGGCACTGAACATTCAGAAATAGACTAGGTCATTATTGCTTTTCATTTCAACGTGCTTCACAGCTTCATTGAAGTCTATAGAATTGGTTTGATGTGATGAAATTGATGGATTTTGTAGCTTATTGATTGGTATCACAAAAGAACAGATATGCAGAGAGTTTACTGTTATGGCTTTCCAACTTCATATAGCACGTTCATGATGAAGTCACATTAGCCTAAAATCGTGTGACTACTGATAAGTACGTAGTAGTTAGAATGGGTAATTGAGACTTTCCGTCGTCTGCAAAATGAACCGTTTGGTGTTGTAGTAGTAGTTGTAGTAGTTGTTGTTGTTGGTAAATATCGTGAAAATTTCCTAAAACTCTGATCACAGATAATATGGATGGATGTGATTTTGAACGAACAGTGTTATTGGATGTGTTTGAGTGGAGGTGATGAATGCGATTGGAAAAGCGTAAGAACGAAACTGGATTTATGAAAAGTAGTTCGATTTAGTTGGTGTGATATTGGAGGTGTTGGTGATAAATAGACAATTGAATGTGGTGCTGAAACAACACAAGCAGTAATCAAACCTGTTCCTAAATAGTCGGTAGACTTCGGGAAGCCTGACGAACACTCAACGATAAGACCAGACTGGTTGGTGACGAAATCACAAACTGTCCTAAATAGAATTGTGTTGACGTTTGTATTGAAGATTGTGACTTGATGTTGATCGGCAGTTGTTTTGAGTAGTAGATGTTCTTCGATCGTGGTTATGCTGGACGTGCTTTGCCGATTTGTGCCTTCACACGTGCGTCAGATTTTGTTTGTTTATTGATGGTGCTAATCAGGTATGTAGAGCTTCACACCTCTCCCACAGCTTCTCCATCAAGTGTGATTTGGTTGGCGCCCACGGTCTGTCCTCACGCAATCCGGAGTGTTGATCTCACAGTTGGACGTCTACTGAAGCATCCATCTGGTTTAACAACACTCTGTTGAAATCATTTGCTGGTAGTGACTGTAGTGTGATGCCTCACCTATTCTCGCACTTGCTGAGATCTATTCTCTTTATTATCTTGACGAGATGTGCTTCTTTGTAGTCTCCTGATTCACCTTCTTCACTTTATTTTGTTTGGTATTTGTTGATTCCTGTCTTCCTACTCTTCTTTTCTTGAATGTTGTTCAGAGGATCAATAGAGATCGATTGTTGTTGATGGTGCTTCTTGGAATTCATCATCCAACGGACTTCACTTACTTCGGTCACCTCCAAGTTGTATTTTTATGATCTCAACTAGAATGTCGGGTTGTGAGTGAGCTCCATGAGCATTTGTCAATTGTTGTTTCGCTTGTCAGAGTGGGTATCGGTCTCGTGATTTCCGAAGAGTCTGGTCTTTAACCATGAGGCGTCCTAACTGTTCTAGATGAAGAAGCTGCAACTTCTAGATTTGGTTTTATATGATTTATGTGGTTTATATGATTTTCTTCTGCTGAGCAATGTTTTATCAATGTTCGTTTCTACGGTATGTGGCTGCTAATCACACACTCGACCCTCCTCCATTATTCTGGTTTGGGATCGACGTTGACTGTTTGGTGCTTCTTAATGCATATCGATGTCTATCGATCGAATTGCAGTGTGGTCAGGGAGCATTAGTTCCTACTAGATAACAGGCAAACATGGAGATATAGTATCTATCAGTCTATTGAAATGGAATATTCTGAAATTCGTATATGCGATTGTACTGAAAGTTATTGGAGTGTTATAAACATCACATTACACTCTTTTCGTCCATGAGACTCTTAATTGAGAGTAAATCAAACATGTAATTCAAAGTCCAACATAGGATTTATCAAAAGAATAGTTGGTAAATCTTTGTGAATTGATGCAATCAGATACGTAACAGATGATTTCCGGGTGAGGAACACCAGAAAATATAAATTTCATGTTTATCTGAAATTGCGAACTTGAGTATACAGACTGTTATCACTGCCTAATAGGTGACGGATTAAGCACATAATAACCACCGATTGATCAAATGAAGATATCAATTACAAGTGTACAGAAGTTCGTCGGTGGATGAAGTAACTTACGTTTGCGAATATTGATCGCCTGGTTAAAATACACGTGAGAAATACCTATGAGCGAACGATATACCACATGTCAGCTGTTAGTTTCAACAAACTAACAAGTTCAAGTCGAATACTGATAGCGAAGCGGTCAGAAACAGGTGACTTACTTTGCATAGAACATGGACAGCGTTAGAGTGAATAGCGTGAGTATGTTCTACCGGAAAGTACAAACTAGCTTGACATGTTAGTAAACTGTTTGTTCTTTTGAATGTTCACGGTTTCGTATTTCGGAACATGTAACAGCACGACCTGATTCGTTAACCGTGTTAAAGCAGATCGTTTTCACAGTTTGTGTGTTGGGATGTCTATCAGACGAGTTCAGTGACTGTAAACATCCATAAGCAGGCTGACGTAGCTCTTAGCGTGTTATCAACACTACTACGTCACAATGATTGTTGTTAACTTATGATATGATCGAGGTTAAAACGGTGACCAATAGCACCTAATGATTACTAAAATACCGGAAGTTCATCACAGATTTATACATTTGTACCTTAAGTATTCATTCAATTGAAACGTTTATTTTTGAATCGATTCAGAACAAATGACGTTCATTTGGAAATGCATATGGTTTAGCATGCATGTTGTATGTCAAAGTAAAGGCATAGCTCTTGGGATGACTAAATTGTTATTGATGTTTGGTTTTGAATAGTGATGCATTCTAGTGATTACAACTAACATAAATGATGCATCTGATGACTTCCTAGTATCTCCCACGTTTTCAGTGATGGCTGGAGTAAACACTTCAGTAAAAGATCCACTCAAACAAGAACAGTGTATTTTACAGCACTTGCCGTTGATACACATCTCACGTAGAAATTGATTGTCATCTACCAGTTCACCAATGTGATATTTCCGTGGTTTCTTTCATTCTCTATTCCAGAAGCCGGTCAACGGAGGATCGATCATTGTTGTACAACTACCAACGAGTGCTTGCAGTCCCACCAAACCACCAGAAAGTCTGGATCTCATAGTAATAGTGAAGTCGTGTATCTATTGCTTTGACGAACGATCGTACGCTCGAGACACCTACATGAAATCACACCTGTGGAAAGATTTCCGAATTCGATTTGTTTTCGTTGTTGGATTGCCAACCCCAAATGAAACGGATGTGTACCATTTCGACGGAGTCACTGTGAATCTTGGTCGGAAGGCTTCTGAACTCTCTAAACTTTACGAGAGCTCACGATGGATTGCTGCTAAGAAGCTGAGTGACGAGAGTGGAAAATTCAATGATATGTTGGTCGGGTCATTTCATGATACGTATTTCAACTTGACGTCCAAGATGATATTGTCATATCGATGGGCTGCTACATTTTGTAAGGGACAAACACCATTGTATCTGTTCGTTGATGACGATTATGCATTACTGCCTGAAAACACTATTCGACTTGTCAGGAGTCTGAATGCTTCTGTTTCGAGATCGACCGTAGGAGGTTTTGTGCATTATACAAGTGTAGTGGCAAGGCCGTCAAAGGAGAAGTTCGATTTGAAATGGTCGGTTTCAGTGAATGAATACCCATGGGATTACTATCCACCTTACTTCTATGGAATAGGTTATTTGTTGGGTTCAGATATTGTCAGTGATGCTTCTGTGGCTATGGCTTTCACACAAAGCATTCGTATAGATGACTCATTTTTAGGAATTGTGTTGAGTCGACTAAACAGGACACTGATTAATATGAAGGAGTTTTCGTTGGATGAATCAATACCGGAAAATAAATCTTGTCTAGTCATTATCGATATAGATATTGCGAATGATGTTATTAATTGGAAAACTGGCGACATTATGAACTATTAATTACATTTTTCTACGGTAATTGGACAAAAATTCACAGTTTTATTTTCATTTTAACTTATTTTGACATAAATGATACTCTTAACCTGTTGAGTACTCCGTCTGAATGAACTAATGCATTAGTTAACGTGAAATAATTGTGTATCACACAAATAGCTTATCAAATAATGTTGTGATCTCAGTGTGTACAGTCGAATCAACTTTTGGAATATTTAATCAACTTATTTTGTTAAAGTGTTTCCGAATGCAATGCAATTGTTCAATATATTTTATAAAATTATTTTTATACTAATACATTATTCTATGCTGTTACTTTATTTGTTTGTCTTCGTTAAACTTTATTAAATAAGTAACCATCGTGTACATTCTGTCCTTACGTATTATTTGTTAATTGGAATAAAAAACATATTCACTAATCAAACGAAATGCTTTTTATGAAACTTCTAAAGTGAAAAGATGCGATTCACTAACAACATCACCCTGAGGAAATTTATTGTAGATAAAATCAAATGCTTAGAAACCTGTTTTTATGAAATATGTGGCAACTATTTAAATTATTTGAAACATAATGAAAATGAAAGTGTTACTTTTAAGTCTAGGAATCTAGGAATATAATTACGCCTTTTATTGTAATCAGAAAGAATAGTTCAACAATCACTCTACCAGGTAAACACAGGTATCATTAATTCATAAACAATAAATAATTAATTATTCTCAACATTATGAAGGCTGAACAATGTAGTCGAAACTTGAAATAATTTTAAAAAAAATAATTTTAAACCAATCAAGGCAATATGGGTCAATAATCACAATGAAATAGAATAAGTCTCTACACATGATAGGTAAAAGTACAAGTTTATAGTAGGAAGACAGGTGAACTGATAATAGTAAGAATAATAAAATACAATAACAAAACTCTTATCAATAGTTAAACGTTGGGAATAGAAGGTCAAACAAACATGGGTAAATAGACTAGGAATAGTCAACACAAAACGTTAAAATCATTACGTAATAAGATGTGTGTAAATAATTAGATAGTGAAGAATACAAAGAGGCGGAAAATTACAAACAAATAATGCACATGAAAGAGGCCAACTCAGGTAACTTATCCTTCGTTTGAGTAGACATCGCTGGTCGACAAGAGAAGGTCAACGCAAGATTGGCTGCATAGAATGTCCTGGTGATTACTTTGCTTAACCTATATTCAGAGTGTCACTAGCCACATCCCCGTTGAATTGCACTTTCATGTATAAAGCTTTCTTACGAACAGTCGAAATCTCCGACTTCTTTATTATATCATACATGTACTTGTTAATGAAAGCGCTGAGGTAGCCGATCTCCGTCAGTGAGCTGTTTTACTCTGGATATCAATCACCGTTTCAATAACTCCATAGGGACAATGAAATCGAATTACAGTTGAGAAGTGAAATTCACTTTGAAACCATTATATGATTTAGTTTGTTATTTCATGTTGTTCTATTGACGAGTTGAATCACACAGCTCAATTGACTAGGTCATTACTGCTTTTCATTTGGAACAAAATTGCTTTCGACTAGATATTCATCAAGCTTAACTGTAATATGCAGTAATATTTATATGCATAGATGTAATTACTAAAACAATCAAGGCAGTTTATTAGTCAATGATAACAGTGGAATAGAAATGTCTTGCAAGTAGAACTAGGAAGATACGCTCAGTCGATAGAATAAATGAGGAATTAGATCTCATAAATAATATGTTGATGGAAATGAGTTATCGACGAGAAGAAACATTTGCATGTAACAAATAGGGAAATAGCGACATCAACGGCTACTAATAAACCACTTTTCCTAAAGCTGCAATTCAACGAACATGAAGATGGTGATGTGCTACATGATTATGGTAATAAATCGATGTGTTCAATATCATATCAGTCATAGTGTAGTTGCCTATGAATGAATAGATTTGTGGGCACTGAACATTCAGAAATAGACTAGGTCATTATTGCTTTTCATTTCAACGTGCTTCACAGCTTCATTGAAGTCTATAGAATTGGTTTGATGTGATGAAATTGATGGATTTTGTAGCTTATTGATTGGTATCACAAAAGAACAGATATGCAGAGAGTTTACTGTTATGGCTTTCCAACTTCATATAGCACGTTCATGATGAAGTCACATTAGCCTAAAATCGTGTGACTACTGATAAGTACGTAGTAGTTAGAATGGGTAATTGAGACTTTCCGTCGTCTGCAAAATGAACCGTTTGGTGTTGTAGTAGTAGTAGTAGTTGTTGTTGTTGTTGGTAAATATCGTGAAAATTTCCTAAAACTCTGATCACAGATAATATGGATGGATGTGATTTTGAACGAACAGTGTTATTGGATGTGTTTGAGTGGAGGTGATGAATGCGATTGGAAAAGCGTAAGAACGAAACTGGATTTATGAAAAGTAGTTCGATTTAGTTGGTGTGATATTGGAGGTGTTGGTGATAAATAGACAATTGAATGTGGTGCTGAAACAACACAAGCAGTAATCAAACCTGTTCCTAAATAGTCGGTAGACTTCGGGAAGCCTGACGAACACTCAACGATAAGACCAGACTGGTTGGTGACGAAATCACAAACTGTCCTAAATAGAATTGTGTTGACGTTTGTATTGAAGATTGTGACTTGATGCTGATCGGTAGTTGTTTTGAGTAGTAGATGTTTTTCGATCGTGGTTATGCTGGACGTGCTTTGCCGATTTGTGCCTTCACACGTGCGTCAGATTTTGTTTGTTTATTGATGGTGCTAATCAGGTATGTAGAGCTTCACACCTCTCCCACAGCTTCTCCATCAAGTGTGATTTTGTTGGCGCCCACGGTCTGTCCTCACGCAATCCGGAGTGTTGATCTCACAGTTGGACGTCTACTGAAGCATCCATCTGGTTTAACAACACTCTGTTGAAATCATTTGCTGGTAGTGACTGTAGTGTGATGCCTCACCTATTCTCGCACTTGCTGAGATCTATTCTCTTTATTATCTTGACGAGATGTGCTTCTTTGTAGTCTCCTGATTCACCTTCTTCACTTTATTTTGTTTGGTATTTGTTGATTCCTGTCTTCCTACTCTTCTTTTCTTGAATGTTGTTCAGAGGATCAATAGAGATCGATTGTTGTTGATGGTGCTTCTTGGAATTCATCATCCAACGGACTTCACTTACTTCGGTCACCTCCAAGTTGTATTTTTATGATCTCAACTAGAATGTCGGGTTGTGAGTGAGCTCCATGAGCATTTGTCAATTGTTGTTTCGCTTGTCAGAGTGGGTATCGGTCTCGTGATTTCCGAAGAGTCTGGTCTTTAACCATGAGGCGTCCTAACTGTTCTAGATGAAGAAGCTGCAACTTCTAGATTTGGTTTTATATGATTTATGTGGTTTATATGATTTTCTTCTGCTGAGCAATGTTTTATCAATGTTCGTTTCTACGGTATGTGGCTGCTAATCACACACTCGACCCTCCTCCATTATTCTGGTTTGGGATCGTCAGTGTCTCTTAATGGAATGCAGGTGGAATTGTCCTCTGTTTGAATTTGTTAAAATCCAGTAGTCATTTAGTGAAGATTTTTCTGAAATTCATCTTCATTTTTCTGTTGTTATTTATTAGATTTGCATATTTTAATTTAGAGGAAGAACAATGTACAAGGATTATGCGCAACAAGCATTCCGGTACTAATCATATATCACATCATTAAATAAACTAACTTCGAATTACGTTTGATAAAAAGAAAATAATATGGCACTGTTATTGTTTATTTTTCACATTTATTTTGAAGAGAAAATAGACTAATAGTTCACTTACGAATACTTTTGACTCATGATATTTATTTAATTAGAGGAAGCTATGTGTTCATTTTACAAACCAATGAATTGATGGTACAATTCAGTATTTCTATCATTTTACAGATTAAATTTGACTTTACGACGTTCATGTATGAGTTAAGAGATCTCATTGATAACTATTACTTACTCATTTACTTAATTACACCTGTTACTCCCAATAGAGCATTTGCCGCTGACCAGCATTCTCCAACCCACTCTGTCCTGGGCCTTCTTTTCTAGTTCCATCCAATTCTTGTTCATTTTTCTCATGTCTATCTCCATTTCTCGGCGTAATGTGTTCTTTGGTATTCCTCTTTTCCTTTGGCCTTCAGGATTCCATGTGAGGGCTTGTCTTGTGACGCAGTTGGGTGCTTTCCTCAATGTGTGTCCTATCCACTTCCAGCGCTTCTTCCTGATTTCTTCCTCCGCTGGATCTGGTTTGTTCTCTCCCACAGTACGTTGTTGCTAATAGTGTCCGGCCAATGGATCTGAAGTATTTTGCGTAGACAACTATTAATAAACACCTGTATCTTCTGGATGATGGCTTTCGTAGTTTTCAAAGTTTCCGACTCATACAGTAAAACTGTCTTGACATTTGTATTGAAAATCCTGACCTTGTTGTTGGTTGACAGTTGCTTTGAGTTCCAGATGTTCCTCAGCTGTAAATATGCTGCTCTTGCTTTTCTGATACGCGCCTTCACATCTGCATCAGATCCACCCTGTTCATCAATGATGCTGCCCAGATATGTAAAGGCTTTTACATCTTCCAAATCTTCTCGGTCAATTGCGATTGGATTGATGCATGCTGTGTTGTATCGGAGAATCCTGCTTTTCCCTTTGTGTATATTGAGACCTATTGCTGCTGAGTCTGCTGCCACACTGTTCGTCTTCTCCTGCATTTGTTGTTGCGTTTTGGATAGAAGGGCCAGATCATCTGCGAAGTCTAGATCATCCAACTGCATCCTAGATGTCCACTGTATCCCGTGCTTCCCTTCAGATGTTGACGTCTTCATGATCCAGTCGATCACCAGGAGAAAGAGAAAGGGTGAGAGTAAGCAACCTTGCCTAACACCGGTCTTCACTTCAAACGACTTTGTCAACTGTCCTCCATGCACGATTTTGCAGTGTAATCCATCATATGAACTCTCTATGATATTGACTACCTCCTGAGGCACGCCGTAGTGTCGAAGAAGCTTCCATATTGTTGTCCTGTTCACGCTATCAAATGCTTCCCCGTAGTCAATGAAGTTGATGTAGAGTGATGAATTCTATTCAATTGACTGCTCCTTAATGATCCGTAGTGTTGCCCTCTAGTTATCACACTTGCTGGTATCTTGATCAGATGTCCTTCCTTCCATTCTGCTGGTACTTGTTCTTCCTTCCAAATCTTCTTGAAGAGAATGTGGAGTATATTTGCAGTTACTGTTACATCTGCTTTCAGTGCCCCTGCTGAGATGTTATCTGGTCCAGCTGTTTTGTTGCTCTTGATTTGTCTGATGGCCACGCTGATCTCTTCAACTGTTGATGAGCCAACATCGATTGGGAGGTCCGTGATTGCTACTTCGATGTTGGGCGGGTTCTTTGAAGTGTTAGACCCACCTGTTTCATTGTTCTTTAATGTTAGTGATTACCTCGCCTTCCTTGCTTTTCACTGGTCGTTCTGGTTTACGATAATTTCCAGACAGTTTCTTTGTTGTGTCATACAATTGTCTCATGCAGCCTTTTCCGCCGTCATTGCTAAATCATTCACATATTTACGCTTGTCGGTTCTGATGCTCCTCCTCACTTGCTTGATTTCTCCTGTGTATTCAGCTTGTGCTTTGGCTTTTTCCGCTCTTGTTTGGCTGGCATTGATTGCTGCTTTCTTGTTCCTCCTTTCTTGAATCTTGTCCAGTGTATCAACAGTGATCCATTCCTTGTGATGATGCTCCTCGTGGCCCGTAACCTCATGACATGTTGAAGTGATTGCCTCTTTGATCCCTTTCCAGTTGCTCTTCATAGCAGTTCCTTCTCCATTGAGTAGATCACGGAAGGCCTGGAACTTATTGCTGAGGTCTATCTCGAATTTATTGAGTTTGTCAGTATCCTGGAGAAAACCGTCTTAAACTTTTATTATGTTGTCCGCCTCGTTGTCCAGTGCTTCTTGAGTTTCGATTTCATCTTAGCGACCAGCAAGTGATGGTCTGATTATATATCGATCTGGTCGATCTGGTTGTCAGAAGGAGCATCGGCCTCGTAACTTCCGAAGGAATTCGGCTTTCATCATGAGGCGTCATAACTCTTCTAAATGAAGACCTTCTGACTCCCAGGGCAGAGTTTAAAAGGTTTGAATAATTTTTCTGGTTAGCGTTTTTTTAGCGAGTTAGTTTTCTACGGGATGGGGTCGCTAACCCCATGTCCAACCCTCCTCCTTTATCCAGGCTTGGAACTGGCAGTAGCCCCAGAGGGACTCCAGGCGGAGTTGATTACTAAAAATGGTGTATAATAATTAGAAAATAAATGTTAACAACATTCAAGTAGCATTAAATCCTGATGACTATTACAAGATATATACTTTGTGGAATATATTTTTCTAAGAAATTGACTACAGTTTTCATATTGACTGTGTTGTTCTTTCAAATACCATCAATTATTCTGTATCATAAATACACAACCAACAATTCAATGGGAAAGGGATTTTTCAGTAGTGATGTTTCGTTTCACATGAAAATGTTGAGCATATGTACATTCTCTGTCGACTGCCTCCAATCATCACCTTAGTCGAAGTGGATTGGCACTGAAATCTATCATGATTTTGAGTTGTTGCTTTTGATCATTATTCATGTGAAGGTTATACTTTATTTTGATCAGCAGAACTCATTTTGTTTTTACTGTGGTTGTTAGATTTAATACCATCCACTTTATATATACTCATAGTCGGTTTATGGACACTTTCGATCCTCGTATTTTCAAAATCAGTATGTGGATAACAATGTGAGAAAAAGAATGTGATATTGATTAACAGGAAATTGATTGATTTGTGTAATTTTTTAAGCATTTCTAATTCTATCAGTTTGCACAAGTGTTTCCAGCAGTTTATGATATGAAATTTATTTATTTAACATATTTGCGAGGTAAACATTTCACTTCTTAGTGTCTTTTTATATGTTAAAGAAAGATTGTTAGCATAGTAATTTGATTATTATCAGATTACTATACTATGGTGAAACTCATTTAAAATTAATTTGTAAAACGTATAAAGCATTAGACAAAATTTAGTGCTTATATACTTTTCGGTTATATATAACGAAAATACTATAATGTAATTCACGTTAACCAGGAATACCGGATGCTAACTGACAAGAGTTTTCATATAAACGATCGCTCGAAAATCCAAGACATCTATCAAAAGCCAACTCTATTATGATTAAGAAATAAATTGCTTCACATTGTCATCCAATTCGGAAATGTTATTGATTTGGAGTGTACTGATCCCCATTGTATGTTTATGGACGGTTGGCATAATTTTCATGTGGTCATTTGATAGTAACGATTCGATTAATACCTATTCACTGTTTGACTCGGTTTGCAAGAATGTCTACTTTAAACAATGTACACAGTCAAGAAGTTCATGGCTTAAATGCATCGGAAATATAAACAGACCGAACAGGCAACACAGACGGAACCACACGGATCTAACGTCAAAATGGCCACCGTCTTCTATATCCGGGTTGTTTGATGATGCGCTACCAATAATCAATCTTGCTTTACGTGTTCCAGTTGCTAAGAATGCTGAGAATCCTTTCGATAGCCCATACTATCGAAAATATCTACGCCTCACCACAAGAAATGAGGACAACATAATGAGATCCCCGGGTCTCTGGTCATCCGGATACAGTTTATTTCCTCAAACATTGGATTTCGACAAAGTGATATACGATTTTGAAAAGGGTTTTCCATCAACCACAGTAAGTTATTTTGGTCATTTTTAGATAGGTTACCTTACATACTGGCATCAAAATATATACATGTCTAATACTTACACTCACTCATTTTGAAGGAATTCGGGTAAGGAGTGATTTATTTCACTGGGGACAGAATCACCCTGGCATTTGCCAAAAAGTCTCCTGGGACCTAGTAAGTCGCCGTCATCTTCGTACAGAAATGCGTTAGTCAGACAAGGTCGAAACCTTGTCTACTTTTTTCCGCGCAATGCGTATTGCACAACTGCCTTGACACTATCGTGAAATATATTTCACATGTGCGTTGTTGTTGAGTACAACTCGTCAGTGGATTGCTAGTATTCTAGTCGCACATTCTATGAGTAACCGAATGGTATAGCTGGAAGACTGCTTCACTGTACTTTCATTCCATGTCCAGGTCACAACAAACTTAACACGTCGATTTACACAATCGTATATAGCTACAACATTATCACATTTTTGTATGCAGAACAAGAACGGACAATCTTAGAAAGATACGAGAAAATTACTATTTATCGGTGAACAATAATGTGAATCTTTTGGTTACATCTCTTTGTTCGGTGACCATAATGTGTCTTTTCTATTTTCAGTTGCCAATAAACAATCCGGACATATTAGTATTACGACTGCCAAAAAGTGTTTGCAACCCATGTGGGAGAGAACGTGTTCCTGACTTAATTGTTGTGATCAAATCCTGTAGCTACTGTTCGAATGAACGGGACCATGCACGAAATACATTTATGCGGAAGCACTTATGGTCGAATATCACTGTCCAATTCGTCTTTGTTGTGGGTATACCCTATCCAAATGAATCAAACATGTTCACATTTGGTAATTATAAATTTCAACTGAGAAATTCTTGGTGGAGGTTATCGAGGAAGCATGACAGAGATAGATGGACATTTATTAAACGACTTGCAATGGAAGCAGATTTTCACGAAGACATTTTGGTTGGTTCTTTTCATGATACATATTTTAATCTGACCACAAAACTCATATTTACATTTCGTTGGTTGTCAGCACTTTGCCCCGATTCAGTGCCATTATTCCTCTTTGTAGATAATGATTATGACTTGGTTCCATGGAATGTGATCAAGTTTTATAGAAATCACACAACAGATTGTTTGAGGGAATTGACTGGCGGGCTTCGACACGAAGTTTCCACTGTTATTAGACCAAGCTATGATGGTAATATAAGTAACGTTTGGGCGGTAATGTTTAAGGAATTCCCATGGGCAAGATATCCTCCCTACTTTTATGGGGCTACCTATATTTTGGGCTCGAATATCGTCAAACGACTAGCAATTGCCAGTGCATTTACGCAGCATATTCGTATTGACGATGCTTACTTGGGTATACTCTTCAACAAACTGAATATTATTCCTCAAAACCTTAACATCATTTCTCTCTCAAGTGGGAGACCTAATATAGAGTCAGGTGCAATCAACGTACCACACTATGTAAGTAAACGCATAATCGATTGGAAGGCAGGTAAGCTCAGATCCAATCATAGATGATACAGACGCTTGCTGTTGTCAATATATACTTGTTTCAGTTTTCTTATTCACTTTATTTACCTAAAATATTTGATTATTTGATAAGGCAGCCCATCATTTATCACCAATGCGATCGCCATATCTGCCTGTAAATCATATATTTGGGTTATTTTATTTTAATATTTCGATTATCAACGTAATTATCTGTGAATAATTTACAGTCGGATGAAATTGAATTTGACTGATTGTCTGATTGGTTTCTTTTCACGAACTAAATTATTTTTAATTATCTTCCTGAAAATATTTTTTTATCTATTTGTAATACTGTATTGATGAACTTAGATGCTGTTCACTCTGCCGATACTTTTCAAATCGTCATATCCCGTGCTATTACAAACAAGAAGTGTTGTCAATAATTGTTTTATATTGAATATATTTCCCTTAACATTTTTTACTTGTTGACTGGTGCGAGATTAATTTTACTGCATTTCTGTGCAATACGAATGAAATATTTTTCGCTGTTTTCACTTTACTTTCGAGTTGAAAACATAAATTACCAATGATCTACTGGATAGGGATTGATTTCCTTCAATCTTCTGATAATAATTAATGTAGATTTGCTTTTGTCTAATGTATGGTTAATATTTTTAACAATGGCCATGTAAACTGTGTGTTTATTTGAATGTTAGATAATTATTTGCTCACCTGCGATTTGATTTCCAATCGGTTTGCATTGGTGAATATATTTTCTTTTTCTTGGACTTCGGTTATTTATTAGAGATTATATGACGAGGAGTGAGTTAGCAGTGCTGGAGCATTTGCATATTTGAAAGGGATTTCAGAGTTATTTGCTTTTCTTTAGTCAGGCTGTTACGCATACCAAACAAAAGTGATGTGCCTTGTAGTAGTTGAAAACCTTTGTTCTTTAAAATGACTTCCAAAAGTTAGATAGGTATTTAAGTACTAACATGACTTGCAAGAAAAGCTATACAAAAAATGGTTTTTCATTTTTCAATATTGAAATCAAAATAGATTTATAGGTTTTGTGGTCTATATTTTCAGCCGTGTCCAATTTCCTTTGAACTACTTACAATAAGCGTATGATTAAAAGAATCCACATTTCCGGTCATCAACCCTCATCTATGGGAAATGGACTGAAAAGGTTAATGAGAAACCCTATTCCTAAGCATTTAATCAACGCTAGTCACCAAATTGATAAATAAGTAGCTTTAAATGTTATCAATCGTAAACTATTCAATTTTTCCCATATTTAAAGATTCTCTCATGGTAAAATAGAGAAAGGGAATGTCGAAAAGACGTTTTCACTAACCTACAGATTGCTTTTCCAATTGTCCTATCATTAACTCATAATTAGCGTTTTGAATAGCAATAAACTCAAATTGATACCGTTAATTTATTCAAAATCATTTAATTTGTATTAATTTTATATTCACTCATGAAACATGTATATTAATGTAGAGCATCTAATTTATGAGAAATATTAGTTTTGCTCATTTTGTAATTATAATGGTTTCGTTGTGTGTCAAAAACGAATAAATTATCCTCGAGTTCAGATCACGGAAAGTTTGTATAACAGTCGGTTCTTATTGAAGCTATTGTGCTTTTATTCTATAAACTGGTTTACAGCCATAAAATTCTAGTCATTTTGATATTATGTAACATCATAACTGGATTACTTTTAGCCTGATAGAATTTCAACAATCTTAGAGCATAGAATAAAATAACAACTAATTTCTATACTTGATGTTGTTAGTAGTTTGAACAAAATTGTCTGACGCTCTTAAAAACAGTGCCAGAAATGTTCAAATATGTGTCTGCAGTATTTCAGCGTCTTCATTCGGTAAATTTATAAATGAGAGTTATGTCTAAGAGATTTGTGAAGTCACTTAATATATTAACAGCAATTTATTCGTCTACCGTGTAAACAATAGTTATCCTTCTGTATACTATTTTACTGGTATTCCTCTTCTTTACCATTTCAAAATGATGTTTTAGTGGTTTTGACATTCGATGGGGACTTGAACTGTTGAATGATCCCGAAATAAACCAGAAGAGATATTTTCTTGTCTCATTTTATTCACTTGTTAGTAGTTTTGCTCCCTCGTACCATCCAAATAAATTAAAACTAACATCGTTTTAAGTTTCCATATTTTATATCTTTGGAAAAACACTTCCATTTCAGTCCCCTGTTACTGCATCCATTCTTCCACCAGAATATAAAATTTTCATATATCACTGGTTTCAAATAATAAAGGGCATTTGCAAAGATAGAAAGTTCGCTCTCCAGCTTTGCTGACCACATTTTTACATCACCCATATCATGCCAAGAAAAGTATTGATTGTATACAGTATTGTTATTATCAAGATACATCAAATATTTGGAAACTTTTCTCGAATTTTCAAACTGATCCACATGAATAAAAGAATGAGATGGTGAAATTTTGGAATGTTCCTTAATTTAGGCACCCAAAACTATGGGTAATATGTTAGTCCTGAAAGTTCATTAATACATAGAGTTTGTTAAACATAGTAGAGTACAAACATTATATTTTTGAGTTGAATGATTTAAAGTAATTAACTTCGCTGTAAGATATTTTTGATGAATGATGGAAGTTGTTAGTCTCTACTCTTTGCAGATTACTCTTATAAGTTCTAGTGTAGAATACAAAAGTTATCCGATTATTTTTTTAGTGGTTCTTCAATTGGTATCAGACACTGGATCTACTACAAAATGTAACAGTGTGCTGTTGGCTGTAATGTATGACACTCGATTTCCATTTTCAGTGATTCAAATATAACCACGTTATTTTCATTTTTAGTTTATTAAATATGTATTAGTGTTAGAGAATAGATTTCTGTAAGTTTCGCTTTATAATACGTTCGACAGGAATTTATCAGAAATGACAGGAAATCTGAACTAAATTTACAGACATTCTGTAAGTCGTGAACGATATACATAAATAATAATTTACACTCGAATCATTTGTTACAAAAGAAAAATATTGATTCATTTTCCATCGTTTGTTTGAATCTTCTCATCGATGTTTAGGATTGTAATTAATCAGTCTGTTATTGGCATATGTGCATCCTGTGAGGATTGCCTTGATATTGCCTTAAGTCACAAGCGTTATAAGCAAAGATTGATAGTGGCTTGCAGTGGAATCTAAGACTCACGTTTTGTACTACTCTGGACTCGTCAAATGGATGCACCTGCATCCTGGGGTTGATGTCTACTCCAGTACCCAGTACCGTTCGCTTCAAACGCTATCCCGTTATCCACCTAGCTACTAACTCCAGATGGCTACTAGCTTGTTTAATGAGGCAGTTTCATTAATTGCTGTAAAAATGTGGAGATAATGAACGGTAGATAAGAAGAAAAATACAGTCAATAAACCAAAATTTCCGAATCAATAACTTTATTTCAACTAAATGTAACTGATCAACCAAGAAGTGAATAAACTAAACTAACTTAGATTTGGTCTATCAAAAATTGTCAATTAATAATATCACTTTAGAAGTAATTAATCATTATTTACTTCCTGAACTATTTGAAGTCTGGATAAAAAACATCAGTTTTATTCGAGTTCCTCACTGTCAACTTTTATCAAATCGAAATATGCTGTCCGACACTGTTTTGACTGCTGTCTTTCATTACCCAAAAACAAATACAGATCATCGATAAAGTGATGGTGACAATAATTAATTTGAATCGATTGCTATAATTTAGAATAAAACGTTTTAATGCATACATAGAGAAATTACTTCTTTAAACACTAAGATCAAAAGTAATCTGTTGTTGATATAACGAGATTTGAGAATATAAAAAGCATGTTTAGTTTAGATGAGATATTCATGACTTGGTATGAAATAAAAGATCCAATAAAATTGTTTAAATTAAATATGCTGTTCAACAACATTATTGAACGCTTTTGATAAAATAAATACACAGACCTACCATAAAAACTGAGAGCTCACAACGTACATATTTCAGTAGTAAGCATTCATACAAGTAAAAATAATTCAGGAAAAATACTGTCACGAACTCAGTAGCATGAAACTGGGGAAAAATTTTACTAATTCCTATCTTTTTAAAGGAAATAGGTAGGCGAGAAGAATGAAATGAACCTTACACACCATGGACAGCTGACTTTGAGAGAAGCGATTCTAGTTGTTTCCTTCTTCCTATTAAGTGGGGCTTTAAACAAAATATAAACCATTTATAATAATGGTCAAATACGAACTTCAAGTTAGTGTATTTTGGTTAATTGTTTAAATAAAGTAACATAGATCCTCGAGGTTTAAAATGATTCCATGTACTGTTATAGACTAATTTCAATCTTAAAAGATCACTCAACTTCACTGAAACATATCATTCCGTTATGACAGTCAAGTCTCCTCTGAAATGATTAGTCAAAATCTTCGATAAGTTATTTAGAATCATTTTTACTCCATCAATATTCACAAATATTAGCCTACTTAGTTAATCGTTTGAATTGTGAATAGCGAACTTTGTGTTGCCTGAGTTTCATGGTGTCAACTTTTGACAAATTGAAATGTGCTGTCCAATTCTGTTTAGCCTGATGCATTGCATAATCCGTGCACAAACAACGATGATAACTGGTCTTAAGTGATTGTTATGATTTTAAATTTAGCTTTATAACACATCTATTAACAAATGTTGATATGAGTTCAGAAAGATGAAATTCTGAATTGAAAATCCTTTTTCCAATTCTGCATTACAATTTCTGAATTAAAATTAAATTGAGTTTTATAGAACACTGTTTGAATATATTCTCTTCTCTTTGATTAAATTTTAAAGAGATTGAGCTGGGATTGTAGTGTAGTTAGCAATGTGGAATAATCCTGATCGTCTCTTGTAATCCAGTTACATGTTAGATTTGTTCTGGCCAAATTAAAGCGGGCATGTCTTACAAGAATGCATATTTACTCATTAACACGAAGTGCTAATTAACCACGAGTTCCCACATTCAATAAGTTTCGCTTCGGCCAGTTGTGTAAGCAGAATCTACCGATTATTTGTTCTGTTTGAGACTAGTCCCAGTTTTGTCAAGAACATCACTTTATGAAACTTTATTCCCGAAAACAAAACATTAATAATGTGGCAGTTGTTTCATTTTAACTCTAAACATAATGGTAATAAACCATGAAACGTTTACTGAGTGTTTGCAAAGATATGAATCACTTTGACTTGTCATAGATTCCTTGAAAACCAAGAATGTTCATGTTTATTACTAAAAATGGCAGTTGAAACGAATAAAACTAAATATGGCTTTAGCTTACTGAATTTGTTGAAAACTGATCATTATCAGTATAGCGTTGTGAAGATTGTTGATTTTAATTGATATCAAGAAATGATAGTGGTCTAACAATGATCGGTTCATGACCTCAATGAAAACGGATCAATTTTCTGAATTTCATGT